TCGTTATCAAGGTGCTCTATTCGCGATCGGTCAGGAGATGGCACGACCTCCTGCTCAGGCATGGCATCTGGACTGCCTGCAATCCCATTGGTGGGCGGTGGTGACACAGAATTTTCGAACGAAGACAGCTTGGAGATTTTTTCTGGTAAGTGCACTCCACTGTCTCTGTGCTCTGCCCGGCGCTTGCGGCTTGATTTTTCTGCTTTTGGCGAGTATGTGTTGTGAACATCATTTCTGATCTTGACTTCAGTGACACCCTTCCCAGACACCGAGATGTCAGGGGGAGAGGCGTCGGTTCTGCAAGGATGAGAACTGCCATTGGTCGACCCGGGGGCACTTGCAGCCACAGCTGGCCCAGGTTCAATCAGCTTCTGCCAGTTTCTTAAGAGTTTCTTTGCACGCTTCGCAAGGTCTTCATCCTTGGTCTTCTTCCTCACGTCGTTGATCAGCTTTCCTAGGCGAGTTTCCTGCATAGATAATGTGTGTGAGAGTTGGACAGAATTCAAGCAACACAATTCATACATCAAGTAGTATTTTAGGTATGGTTAAATATCTTACCTCAAGTGCTTCTTTGGTGATAGGACATTTTTCCAGACAGGCAATCACCTCCAATACTACAACCATATTGCGTATCTGCAGGAGGGAAATACACAGATTGATTGTGACATCACCTCAGCACATTCGGTATTAGCCTAAATTGTTTAATTGGCAGGTTCAATAATGTGGAAATGATTGATAATGGCAATGATTTATCTGGGAAAACACTCCTCACAAGATGAAACCAAATAAGTGTAACGCCAAATCACCTAAACCTAATATATTGAATCGTGTCTGCATCATGTGAATTAGGCAACATTTACGTTAGCTTTCAAGTTAGCCAGGGAAACACTAGCTTGTCTGTCTGCTACGCTGAAAAGTAAAGATGGCAGTGTGTCAACTCAAAAAAACCTTCATAATTCCAAGCGCTGCAACAGAAGTGTAGCATGTGAAGAAAAACTACAAACTGAGAAAAAACCTGAATTTAAATCTACGTGAGATTCTTATTCTGTCGACAAAGTCAATCTGCGTTTGAGTGTCGGCACACTTACCTGTGTTAGCTTCTCTGGCTAGCATAAACTAACTTGAGAAGGAAGGATCCGACTATTTCCTACAATGTAGCTTTAGCTGTTCAAGCTGAGACTAAGCTAGCTACACAACATTTTAGCACAAAAACAATCTAAAAAGAAACCATGGCCAATTGACAGAGCACGTAGACAAATCTTAATGAAACCAGTATTCCTAGGGGACATGTATGATCCACATTCATATCGTTGAAGACATAAAACCGCCTCGGTGTTGCGGGTAGGCTAGCAGCTAGCATGCTACATAACCCAGCTAACGGCAGACTAACCAAGGCAGCCGTGGTGCTAAGTGAGCATCCGAGCTGTCAGCTGAAGAGCTCAGCGTCTCCTCCCTCACATAGGACACGACACACGCTTTGGTAAATATGAAAAGGGTTTACTGACAGCCGTAGGTTTTTACTGCCCTGTCGACTGTGCTGCGGTGCAGGTAAACAAGCTAACACTCGCTGGCTAGCCCGCTAGCTTCAGTGTCACTCACATTGCTCTGACTGTCGATGGCCTGCAGCAGCCGGTCCCTCATCTGCTGCGGGGTTTCTGAGACCGTTGTCATTGCCCGTTCGGTGCGATTCGGAGGGTGGAGGGAGGAATCCTCCGAAATGAAGAGCAGGGTGACAGTGGGGACTCAAACGCCGCTGCGGTGACACGTCCGGCGCCCGAACAGCATATTCTTCAGTCGCCTGTGGGGTAAGACGGCTCGGGTTGTCTCACATGGAAGTGGGAAATGCTCGGCGCTGTGTTGGCCGCTAGCTGCTGCCTGCTCGGCGCTGTAGCAACTCACTACCAGCTGCTGGATCTCTCAACGGCCTCCTGCTGCATGCTGGGATACCGTGTGTGCGCTTTTGACGTCCGCACGTAGTCAAGTAAACATCCCTGGCGTTCACCTGCACTCCTGGATGATGCTGCTCCTCCCTCCGCTGTCTGCATGCGATCCATCAGGCAATGTTGATACCTGTGTTTTAAATACCATCACCATGGTCCAGTGTTTTCAGGATTCAGATAGATAGATGGATGAATAAATGGATAGATAGATAGATAGATAGATAGATAGATAGATAGATAGATAGATAGATAGATGGATGAATAATTGGATAGATAGATAGATAGATAGATAGATAGATAGATAGATAGATAGATAGATAGATAGATAGATAGATAGATAGATAGATGGATGGAAAGATAGATAGTTACATGGATGGATGTATAGATAAGATAGATGGATAAATGGATAGATAGATAGATAGATAGATAAATAGATGGAAATATAGATAGTTAGATGGATGAATAGATGGATGGATGGATAGATAAGATAGATGGATGGATAGATGAATAGATGGGATGGATGGATGGATAGATAGATAGATAGATAGATAGATGGATGATGGATGATGGATGATGGATGGATGGATAGATGAATACATAGATAGATAGATGGATGAATTGATAGAAAGATAGATAGGTAGATAGATGGATGGATGGATAGATATGTGTATATGTAATGTATCTCCATATATTAAATCTTAACTTAACTTTATTTGATTCTATATTTGTAGTCCTTATTTCTGTGTTTTTTGTCTAAAATATTATACATAAAAAGTCTCCTGAATCTTGAGTCTCTTGAGTATTGAAAAACAACATTGTTGTTAATTGTCTTTCTGCCGATTTACTCTGTCATTGATAAATTGACTCCATATTTCAGCTCTAGATTTATCTGCTGTCAAAAGGATCATAATATGCCTGAGTCAAATAATAATAACACTAACGACAACAATAATGATAATGATAATAATAATAGTTAACAGGTGCTTTACATGGGAATAAATCAAACAGAACCAGACAAGACAAAACAAATAAGATATGTGGAAGAAATAAGAAACATGACAAACTCTAATTTCATTTCAATATTCATTAAATCAAAATCAGCTGAGGAAGCTCCTTGAAATCAACTCAGGCTAACTATTTATTTTCCACATTATTGCATCAGCCATCATCTCTCTCCACTTTAACATGTATATTTATAAAAATGGATGTATTGGTTCAGTGCTTACATTTTATTACAGCATTCAGCCAGCAGATGGAGTTGTGCAGTTTGAAAACCAGGGTGCCTCTGAGAGAGCAGACAGGGGGGGTTGAGTCAGGATGGCTGGAGCACAGTGGTGGTAAAAAAAAAAAAAAGCTGGAGTCAATTGAGGGCATCAGTTGAGGTGAAGTGAGTTGTGGGAACTTCTCCTTTATATTTCAAACACTGAGGAAATTAGCCATGGGCAGCACTCAGCTCAGCTATGTTGTTTCCAAATATTATGACCATGAAATTTTAGATCTATGTTTGATCATTTTGGTTAATTATGATTATTTGTATTGCTATTAGAGTGGGAAACAGGGGAGATACATTCCGGGAACTCATCAGTTCTAATGAAAGAAATTTGATGAAAACCCTCCGGTCTCAAACTAGCCTCTCGCCCACAGTAGCTAAAAGCCGGAAAACGAAAACCTTCCCAACAGAATCTCTTGACCCTTATCTAGTGTGATCTTTCCACCAGGCATCTTGGTTTTTCAGTTTTATTGCACCCACATACAAAATATCTACCATCTCATGTCAGTGTGGACAGAGTGGGGGCAGCAGGTCAAATGAAGACGTGAACCGAGTCTCACTTGTGCCAGTTGAGAAGGCTGCAATCATAATGCATCTACTGCTGTCGTTACTTTTTGTGGTTCACAAAGCAAGACCGAGCATCTCTGCTTATTCCGATATATTTATTCTCATTTCGTTTACAAATAATAATGCAAAGATACAAAGACATAAGCCTTCACACGAGAAAAATACATCAGGTACAGTCCAAACAGAAGCATATTTCCATCTTGAATATATCTCACATTTACAGCCAACTTGGATTCTTTTGGTCCGATTTCACACTTAAATTAGAAAACACACCATTTTAAGAACAAGGTCAAGACTTTTTTTTCTTTTAAAGGGTTAGCTCAAAAAAGTACCACTTTGCCAAGCTGTGCTGCAGAATGCTAGAGTTTGCATATTCTATGAAGATAATGTTTCCTGTAGCTGTGAGCGCACTGCAGGAGCACGGTGCACCCCCTTCATGGCAGTAAAATGCATGTGCAGTAAGTAGAATATTGTATCACCGTACTCAGAAACAAAATACATTATATAACAATTTAGCTGCCATTGAATGAGGCTTGGACCAGGAGCAGGCCGTCCTCAAAAATCTACATAAAGTATTTGTAGATGTGGTTAATCCACAGGCTGACCATGCATGACTGTCCACGTCGTCTTCCTGATTCAGTTTAACATGTCACAAAATCAACC